CTGAGTTCTTTATCTCTTCATTTGATGTTCTAGGGTTTCAGGATTGTTGATTCTCTGTTTGGCTTAGTTTTTCGGATCTTTGTTGTGGAGGGACGGCGTGCTTCTGCCTAGAGCGCCATCTTGCCGGAGTCTCAAGTATTTTATTTTAAACTTGCCTTTACTAAATGCTTATATATATCAGGTGCTTTTCCTTGTATGTTCTTATTTGATCTGCATAACCACTCAGTGGAATAGGACAGGTAGTATAATTGATATCTTTCTGATGTGGAAAATAGTGGGTGGAGGGATTAGTTACTTGCCACAATTTTATAACTGGAATGGGAACTCCCCCTCAGGGTGGCTCGGATTCTGCACGTTTCCCATGTACTGAGGGTCTGAGAGAGTCAGTGTGAATCTGGAAGTGCCTGGTATCTGACAGAGACCAGCAAGGCGGTTCTGCCAACCTGTCTTTTAGCAAGGGAGGGCCTGGGTTTAAGTCATAGGAAGGGGAGCTTGCCAGGGGATGTTTCAGAGCCACTGATGAATGGACAGTTTAGGAAGCCAAGCTGGTTTTCGAAGAGGAAGATGACAAGTTCAGTCTTGATGGTGCAGAATTTGTGAAAATGGTGACATCCAAGTGGAGGAAGAAGATGGTTGGAGTTGGGAGAGAGGGAAGACAGGACTCTATTGATTAGAATCTCACTGAGGAAAGAGTTTGGAAAAGAAAAGCAAGCTCTCAAGGAATGAGCCGTGGGGAGAAGACTTGAAGAGAAAAGAGTCAGTGAAGGGGCCTTGGAAGAGGTGGGAGGAAAATGGGAGTGTGGTAGGGCTGTGGGGAGGACAGGAGATCAGGATGAAGGGGCTATTTTTCCGAGAGGAGGAGGAGGCTCACGTTTTTCTGAATCTGGAGGGAAAGGATATGCTGGAGAAAATGATGTAAAAGTTCATATAAAGTGGCTTTGGTCTTGATGAATTAGATGGCCAAATACATTGTTTGGCTTGGGAGTCAATGTGAAGATGAGACTTTGGATAATGCTAAGAGATAACATTTTATTGAGCACTTTCTATGAGCCAGGTGCTGTGAGTTATTTAATTGCAGCCTTAGTACAACCCCTTAAAGACAGTATGGTTATTATTCCCTTTCTGCAGGTGAATTATCTCAGGTTCCAGAGAGGTCACTCAGTCAGTCAGTTGCAGAGCTCCGCTTTGAACCCAGGTCTTTCTGCCCCAGGGTCCATACCTTAAGCCTGGTGTCTTACTATCTAGGAGAGAGGAGAAAGGCTGGGAATTCCTGTATCGCGCCCTCAGAGTGGCTGTTCAACTCTGTTGAACAAAAACAACTCATTCTTACTTTCTAGGGGGCAGATGATTTCTGCTGAAGATTGTGAATTTATTCAAAGATTTGAAATGAAGAGAACACCTGAAGAGAAGCAAGATATACTTCAAGCTGAAGGCAGCCAGGTGAGTGATAGAAACATATCATGAACGCTTCCCCTTGCCATTAAAAATTTTAGAAAAACAAATTTTAATGACTGTGTAATATTCCATTATAGCTATGTAGCATAATTTAACTAAAAATTCTTTTATTGGAGGGCATTTAAGTGGTTTCCAGTTTTTGTTAATTTTGCAAAAATATTATATTGAATATGTTTACTTCTAGCCTTTTCTGCATTTCTGAATATCTTCTTAGAATAGATTCCTAGAAGGAAAATTACCATTTCAAAGTATATGAAGTTTTTAGAGTTGCTTAAACTTTGTTTTTTAATATTTGAAATTCCATTTATTTTTTTCTACTGATATGCATGTGTTAGATTTGTATATAATACAGAATTTTCAGTGTTATTTTAAAGAACAGTTAAAAAAATGAGAAGCATGATCTATAAGTTTCAACAAACCTAGAAGAAATTTATAATTTCCAAAATAATATAGATTTCCATTTTGTTCCAAAGAAAGATATTTTAATCAATGCAGAAACTCCAGCACAACTGATACGCCTTTTCTTTATGATTTCATACAGTCTTGAACCATTTTAAAATCCACTTAGAGTCAACTAATAGTTTTATACATAATTTAAATGGAGGCAAGAAGTCATTTCATTCCATGGACTTATGGGCCAGTATGCTTTAGTTCAATGTCAAAAGTATATTTTTCAAATTTAATTTTTAATCAATTTTACACTTCCAGTTTTTCTACCAATAAGCAAGTCTGGGTAATAAACTTTGAACTTTGTTGCAAATAGTAACAGACCAAAGTTTTCCAAGGTACATAGGTCTCCATCATGGAAATCAACATATGCCTAATTGGCCATGCCGGTGAGTTTTAAACATACAAAAGATTTCCACATCTTCTCTAGCATGATGGAACTTCTAATAGGACAATATCTGAAGCATGTTCCTACTAGTCTAAGATGAATAAAACACAGAAGGCCCCCTTTACATTCCTCCAAGCTATAGGTATATGCAGTATTATTATAGAACGGCTATACAATTTCTTCTCTCCTTTCATATCACCAATGAAATAAAATAAATGTAGTATAAAATTATACATTCTGTAATAACTTAGAAAAAAAAGTACCTAACATGTTTAAGGCCTTTAAATATTCATAAGACTTTCCTGTAGAACCGAAAACCACAAATGTTAAAATGGCTACAAAAATGTGGACAAAATACTGGCCTAAGAAATTTTTTGAATGCGACAACTATAAGCAAATATTGTATAAATTTGAGACCAAGGAAAATGAACAAGTTAGTCTATCAACAGACTGAACGAACAAATATATAAGCATTCGCACACTCATTGGGATCAAGCAAGAGATAGTCTTTTAGAATGAGATATAAAGAAAGAATGATTAAAAAAAAAAAGAAACCACAAACACTAGAAGAAATCTAAGCGAATAACTTCCAAGCTAAGAAATCAGAAACTCACATGCATCCCTGGCAATTTTTTTGAAACTGAAGGCTACCTTATAACTGGACTGCTCACTGCTGATTTCTGTGAAGGGAAAAATTAAACACAAAAAATGAAAGAAAAAGTACATTTAAAAAAGAAAGAAAGAAAAAAAACCCAAAAGAAAATCCTTTAGAGGTACAAAATAGTATATAATGAAAATGGTAGTCCAGTTCTAACTACTACTTATTTAACTGACAAAGAGTGGCAGTAGTGTGTTAGCCTTGGGGAAACATGTCAGCTTGTCTGTACATTCGTATATGATTGACATATTCAGATAACTATTATTTGCCAACAATAATTATTACCAATGGATATATATTTCCATTCCTTTAATAAAAGCAACTTCAAGATGTTAAAATATGTAGGCTTTCAGGGTTTCAAGATTAGGATACAAATAAAATTGTCTCCGTCTACACCATGCCAGAGAAGAAGTTCTGCAAAGGAAATGTCATTAAAGCTGTGTGCAGTCCCATTACCCAGTGAACGGAGGACCCAGGAACACATCCATGCCAGAAGGCCAGTGCATTTGGGAAACTGCTTTCAGAAAAAAGAAAAGGAGTCACATCTGGAGCCAAGAGCCCAAAAGGTGACTGTCTCTGATACCACCCTGGAAACACCACTCTTCACTAACTCTTCCGATGGCAACTTCAAAGTCTTTCAGCAAGTACACTTTTACAAGTTGAAAACAGTTCAAATCTGATGAGAGCTTCATGACAGAGAAGTTCATGTCTGACTTTTTAAGTCTTGATTTCAAGAACAGGCTAATTACAAGCCATGAAATCCCTTGGAAATAACAGACTCTGGAGTGCCTGTTCTGAACAGTATAAAAATCTCCCTTCAAGATCACCTCAGGAGTTAAATTTCTATGTGTATGTTCAATGTAATCAGCCTTGAGGATCACTTGATTTATCCTTGGTTAATGGGTTACCTGCTGCTCTGTGAGAAATAAATCGAGACGGGAGCCCATGTCTGGAGTTGTTTTGAATCTTTACTCCTCAATGAAACTTCTGTCCCTTCCTTAGAATCCAGCCAACACTAGGATTCGCCACAACTAGTGCTCCAACGTGGAGCCAGCATTTTTTGAATGTGGAAAAATCAAAATTTGTCTTCTGGCACAGCAGAAACGTTCTCTTTTTACTTCTCCATTTGCACTTGAAGAGTTTTACACGTTTGCCGTAGTTGTTTTCACTTTATTCCCAGAGGAACAGGTCCATCCTTTCTGATCAGGAAGAACTTTACATTCCTCTCCCTCAAGATATGGTTGCATATGGCACCACCATTTCTGTTCCACTATTGACACATCCACACAAGATGGAGCAGCTCTCGTGGTGCCTGCTACCTGCCCAGGGAAGCAGGAGCACTTGACGGTTTGTGACCGTTCTAGTTCTTACTACAGCATCTGTGAAGTGCCACCACCTCACAAGTTCCCGTTTTAACATGGTGAGCTTTATGGTGGTTTGCACTGGATACAACTTTCCCCCACAAGGTTACAATAAATATTAGCAGTTTTCCTTTTGTTGCTTTCTGTAAGTATCTCTTACTCATCCTTTTGAGGCTGAAGCAGCTCGGCTTCTTGTGTCCCTTGTCTCTTCAGCTTCTGCTTCCTATGGCCTCTTGGCCTTCGGGCCTCACACCCACATCTGCCCTGCTGGGGCAAGTGTTCCAGAACTCAGTAGCTCCACCGGTATAAGTGCTTGGAGGCACCCCACTCCGCCAGAAAGCCTCATGCACAGACACTCAGCTCTCTCGCTCCGTGGGTTGGCAAGCTTAGCTCCACCGATAAGTGCCCAGAGGCACCCCACTCCGCCAGGAAGCCTCCTCCAGCGCCGTCTTTCACCGGTCTCCTGGTTCTGCTGCTGTTGGTTCTCTGCTGCTGTAGGTTCTCTACTGCTGCTGGTCCTCTGTCGCTGCTGCACGTCTATCCATTCACAGTTTTAAAACCGCTTCCACATTTAGGTATCTGTTAGAGCAGCAGCCCACTCTCGGTGCAAGATTCTTTCTTAGTCATCTAGTGCTGCCATAACAGAAATACCACAAGTGGAC